CCGTTCTTTTTTCTTTTTGTTGTGTTCTTGTCGTCCTGTGCTGTCAGGAATGGGGAGAGGGGGGGAGGGGGGGGGGGGGGGGGGGGGGCATGTCTTATATTGAAGTCATAACACTAATGTCAGGAGCAAGAATTGTGTAAAAAAGTCTTTTTTCTGTTGTCCTATATCAAACCATATACAGTACGAATGACAAAAAAAAACAAGTGCATTTGCTAAAAAAATGATATTTGCATTGGTCATCATCTTATCATAGTTTTTCTAGGTCCATTATGGCAATTCATAATTGTTTTGTTTCTACTCATTTATTTAATTAACTTAAGGGACAAAAATGACAGAATTAACAAAAATTAGATACTGAAACGAAACTACAGCTTTTCTATCTAAGAATAACAAGCAGAAATTCACTACAATATGCAAAAGCATTTTATCCAATTTTCTTTCTTTACCTCAGTTTTTTTTTTTGTTCATCTTGACAAATGAACAAGGACAATATAATAAAAATTGATTATTCTATTTTTTTTTATCATATTTATTCATACGTATATCGTCAATTACAACAAGAAAAATAACAATCACTGTATATCCGTAAGTATTACCTAATGTGAACCGTTTTTTTTTAATTTATTATTATTATTGTTAGGATTATCAATCGTCTCTCTTTTTTATTCATGTCACTCATTAGACTTAATGGATATTTTAATCGTGGATTTTCTTCTTCATTCTGAGTTTAGAAGACAATAAAAAACTGTCATGCAAATTCAATAAAAGAGAAGACATTTGAAATAGAAAAATCCTACTGTTGAGACGATCAATTCAATATGATATATTGCTAATTGTAAAGCAGCATAGAAACCATTATGATGAAGCGATTAGTCGTGTCGTTATAATATTAATTTATATACTAAAATCCGAAATATCTTTTAAAATATCAATATACTAACTATGATGTGTATCTCCAAAATTGATCATCAAAATAAAATTCAATGTTTAATTTCTCTTGAAAATAGTTTATTCAAGTGTGAAAATGAAATGAAGAGAATAAGACAAGAAACACACACATATAAACGGTGCAATAAAGAATGCAAGTAGATAAACAATATATATTTAATTAGGTCTTTTCTTTTTATAAGATTGCTGAGTTGCATATGGATTTCCATAATAATCAATTTCTGGATTACTTTCATTACCATATGATGGTGATGGAGAACTATATGAATATGCATTGTAATTATTTCTTATAAAGAAAAAAACACACACACAATTGTTTAAAACAAAATAATAATTAAAACTAGTAAACATACCGATAATCAGAACTGTCACGAAAGCCTTTTGCAAATGGATTATAATCAATTTTTAATTGAGTAATCTGTTTTAATAGATATATTTTTTTTTAAATTTAAATTCTATATTTGATTCAGATAATACACTTACATCAGTATTTTGATAAGCTGTTACAGCAATAAATTGCGTTTCAGGAAATGGAAATGTATGTTTTATTGCTGAACTATTTTTATTTGATGATAATATTGGATTAATTGAGTGGCCATTGACTTCAACAATATTCAAACGTGGCATATATTTATGCATTGAATTAAGAATAATTGTCATCTAAAATTATAATAAATAAAAAAAAAAAACAAGCAATATAATAACGAAATATTCTTACTTGATTTTCTGAGTGACTTATGGATAATTGTTTATTATTTGTTAATTTTAATTTAGAAAACGAGATTTTTTCATGTTTCATCCAATGAATTCCACTGTTTGGTGAATCCGGATGTAAATAACGATGATCTAAAATCATAGCATGAAATTGTTTTATATATTTAGTTTAAAATGATGTCTTGTATATTGTTACTTGTTTTTTGACTTTGTTCAGCTTGTCCAGATGGTATCCATTTACCAGAATTAAATTTCCAATGATTTACATCTACTAAAACCATATCAACATACATATCATATGTTGCTTCAGGTTTTAATCCATAGACTTTAAATTCAAGAGTTGGAAACATACGACGACCAACTAGAAATTGATAAGAATTATTAAAAAATCATATTAATTCAACAAATATACTCACTTTTCGTGATAATATTTTCATGTGTATGCTCAGCAAATTTCAACCATAATGGTCGATTGACTAGTTCGACAACAATAGAACCGGATCGACAAGCTCCATCTGATGGTAACTTAAAATAAATTCAATTAGAAATATTTAACAATAGATGAATATTTTATTTATGAATCCTGCTAAGAGTTCTTTCAAAAATTGAAAGAGATGCTGCTCATATCTTGTACAAACATATCACCACATGAGTTCATATGTTGGATCGAATATGATCGGATGCTATATATAAGATATCTTATATTAAGTAAGTAATTTGAATAATTCATTATCAAGTCATATGCGTACGAAACAAGAAGGCTGAACATGTGACAATCTGATAGTGAAGTAAAAACTATTGCTCCTCATTTTTCATAAGCAAACGACTTGATAATAAATTATTTATTTAAAACAAGATATTTTATATATAGAATCCGATCATATTCGATCCAAATACATTTACGCTTCATCTTTGGCAAGAATGGAAAGTATTCTCAATAGAAGAAATGTCCGATTGAATTTCTAACTTACACAAGGTGTTGAGTAATTCATACTATTTCTTGTACTACAATTTACTTGTTCAACAGATGATTGAACATAATTTGAATGTTGAGGAAATATTGAATTTGATGGACGAGGTGGAATTGACGATAGGTTATAATCATATACTGGTGTTATTTGTTGATTTGATGATTTTTGTGAATATAACATTTCATTAGCATGTTCTTCAGATGAATAATGTTGATGATGATAAGTTGGTATATAAGCTGTAGATGAAACTTGATTATTTGAATCTTGTTCATTAGTATGATTATTTTGTTGATGTGAATATCCTGGTGAAAGTGTATAGTAAGGATTTGTTTCATAAATCGATGTAGGATAATGTTGAAGATTATTTAAGTCATTATTAATTGATATTGGACTATAATATTGTTGTTGTTGTTGTTGTTGTGTATAATAATGATCTGTTGAAGTTTTACTATCATTTTCTTTAGTACCAAGCGGCGTTAGCATAGTTATAATATCGGTATGCTGTTCACGCTTTCCCTGCAACAGGTGCTAATCGAGTGAAAGAAGAAAGATGAACGATAATGAAAAAAATATATCTCTATTTACGAGAGAAAAACATTAAAATGACCAATAAGAAAAAACAACCAATGAAAAACAAAAAGAATCAAAGATTATATGATTATTTTTCTTTTCTTTTTGATGATTAATCGATCATCACGGGAAAATGAACACAGCTTCCCGTGCATCTCACTTCTAAAACTATATGATATGCATTTTAAGAAAAAGATTTTTGTTTAGAAAGAAAAATCGAAGAATGTATCAAAACACAACAGGTTAACATTGATTTAAAGTGATAATTACATCCGGATTCATTCATAAATAAAAGAATGTCAAAAAAAAAAAATAGTTGCGCGTGTCAAGTGTGAATAACATTTGAGCGTTCTTTTTTTGTATAGGAAATATTGATTTCTATTTGCCATTATCAGCTTTTTTATTTCTTGTGATTTACTTTCATCTCTAGCGGAATTGAAGATCAAAAAAAACAACACAAATCTATTTGCTCTCATTTTTTTTCTTTTTAGTTTGAAGATTTATCAACAAAATATAAATAAATGAGGATTGTTATTGTGTATAAATGATATGACATCAGCTTAAATATTAGACATTTCTTCATTTGTATGTCTAGTTATCCTGGGAAATAGGTATAGTTATGGTTTAGATTAAGTAGAACTGATTGATACGATATTCATTTTGTTAAGCTTGTTTGATAACGTTGATTAAGATTTGTTTAGGACAAAAAAATTCACATATAAAATTAGATTAATTCTTTCACGAAAAAACTAATATTCATGCTGCATTTTTCAGAAGTTTCCAGAGATTGATCACAAAATTTATGCCAAACGACTCGAATAACAGGTCAACTTATCATATATTAATTCAAAAATAAATCAATGTAGGTTAATAAAGATTTGAATTATATATCATCACGCGATGTTAAAATATATACATGTAGTCTATGAGATAAATCTCTAGCGTTATACACTCTTTTTCATCCAACCAATGCCATGTATCACACACTCGCTCACTCTCTATGTCTCTTCTATTGTATGGCTATTATCACATTTTCAACAACATACCGCTGGTACATTATGGCGGCATGTAGTGATAATGAAATTATGAACATAATGTTTCTTTGTTTTAGTCATATCATCGCCGCTGTATATTCATTTAAATATAGGTGTACAAGTAATTTCGATAATGAAAAAAAAGACATTGAAATGATTTGATTTACAGTTGGGTCATTGCTTTTTTTTCTTTATTGAAATTGCATTTCAAAGTTTGAGAATGTACAAAAATTATTATCTAAACAATCTGCATTGATTGATTGAATATCTATTGGATTTCCTTGGTTTAATAACCGGAAATTTCGAGATAAAGGATAATTTAGGTACATCTCAATTTTCGTATAGTGGAAAATATAGTAGTCAAATTGTCTTGATAGAGAAAAATTATAGTTGAACACGCTCTTCAAAATGACTTTACACTAATCTCTATTATTTTTCATTGTTGAGACTTGATTTTTTTTTTTTTGCCAAAAGATTTTTCGTTCAATGTGCTTTAAACTTGTACAAAACGTTTGGATATGGAAATTAATTATGAAAAAATACCGACTATAAACTGTAAGACAGAAAATGATGTGTTCTGTAACATTGTTTTGTCGATTTCTTTCGTCATAGCTGAAAGACATTCTAGATAAAAAAAAAGACCTAATGAGGAGTTTTGAAACTCTTGAGAAGGTCTTTCTTAATAGGAACTCAAGAGTTCTTCGATTCGTTGGCTTGCATTCATCTAAGCTATTCCTCTTTTCTTGTCATTTTGTAAACATCTTGCACATATGTTTGAAATTAACTTTTAGCAATCAAATATTAGTGTTGTTTTAAAGTCAAATATTTTATCGATCTAAAATTTTGAACAACTCGATGTAAGCTTTATGTTTCTTATAAAAATCTAGGATGAGAATACAAATTTAGACTATTTTACCTGTTCAAACGATCATTTTCACATTCAATTCAGAAGAGAACACTTTAAAATATTGAAAAACGGAGACTAACCTAAACAAGTGCCTGTTAAGTTGAAGAAGAAAGAAAGTAATTACTTCTTTGAAAATATCGTTGTTACAAAATAGATTATATTTGGTGTCTTATAATGTTCAGTCTAAATTTTTTTTTATGATAATTTTCTACACCAAAACGCTTTATACAGATTTGTAAAGATTTCTACGAGAAATTTTTTGGTAAAAAGAAATCAAATTTCATCTATGAAACATGAAAGAGATATTAATGAAATACTCAAAGAACCATTGATTTTGCAACATCCGTTAGATTTCTTATTGGTTATGGCCATTTTTTTAATAATTTTTCATCAGCTAATGTTCTTAAACTCAGAACTTAGTCATTGATACATGTTCTTTGTTGCCTATTTGCTCGATAAACTAAATTCAAATTGTGCCAAGCTTTAGCCTCAAATAGTCCTACATACAGAGCAAAAACCTGCTGTCTTCTCAATCTCTTTTTTCAACGAAATCATTTTAAAATGTAATAATCTTACGGTGTATATAGGGTGGTTCGGGCTACAATTTAATGTAAATTGAGATTAGATCAGCATGAAAATAGGTAACAGAAAAAATATTCGTATAAAAACAATCATGAAAAATTCTTCGTAAGTAATGAATATGCTAAAGAGATAAACCTTTGAGAACTTGCTGTTTTCAATGAAGAAACTCCGAACTTGATAGTATTAACAGACCGAAAGTGATTTAAAAAATGATCGTAATCACTTATTTATAGAATGTACATTCCTAAAATTTGTTTTTTTTTTAAATAAAGAAAGACTTTGTAGTATAATTTACTTTGAGATAGTTGACTAATAGTTTTGAATATTTGCAAGTTTATTTTCATAGAAAATAAATCAATATTGTATGTTTTTTTTTCTTTCATTTTCTTTTTTTAAATTAAAGTTTAAATGTATATGAATACAATCGAAAGAAAAAGAAACAAACACTAAAGTCACGAACAAGAGCACAAAGGAAAATATTACTTAGGTTATTTACAAAAAATAAAACGAAATAAAACGAAACCGAATCGAATTTATCAAATCTAATTTAATAATAATCTCGACGTGGATTGTTCTAAAATAAGAAATAAAATTTTTGATATTTATTGAATAGAAAACATTGATATACGTACTAATGGATTTGGTCGAAATCTATAAGCAAGCATCATACGTTTTCGATACATTTGAAATTCATCATCATTACGATCTAATTCCGATGGACGACCTTGTCCAAGACCAGAATGATGTACTGGTGTTGCTCCTCTGTAAATATGTATAAATATAGTTCAAATAATTTTGCAAATCAATTCATTTTAAACATACTTATTAACAGGATTGACAATTCCTTGTGAATTTTTACCTAAACCTTGTCCTTCTTTCCATCCGAATTTTTCCAAAAGACGATAACCAATATTTTCAGCTTGAATTTTAAAATCACGATAATCGGATACGTCAAGTGTTTGACCTTCTTTCAATGCCTTAATAGGAAAAAAAAGAGAGGAAAAACAGGTTTTTTTTATCAAATTTCTTTTATAATAAAACCTCTCTAATGTGAGCACCATCGAAACCAAGCTAAAAGTGCTTATTATTAGGAGATTTTAAGTCTTTTTAAAAATCTATGCAATCGCTTTTCAGCTGCTCAAGATGATATATTTTTCTTCTTCCAACAGTTTATATTATGACTCATGATTGTTTATTATAACGCAATACACATAACATGATTTTTTTTTCGTTCTCTACAAGTAGATGTTAGAACATATGTTGCACTCTTTATAGAGGTTGTTATTGGTCATAAGACCAGAAATATGCACCCACTATTCGGCATAAGGAGGTACTCATATTTGAGAGGCTCTACTATATTTAATTTAACTTACTGAATAAGTTTTCATAAATTTTTCTAATTCACATGCTGGAATAAAATCACCAATATGATGTTTTCCATGTGCCATTTCAGTTAATTTAACTGCCCATTCTAAATAAAAGATCTTAAATTAATTTCAAATAGAAATGAATTTCAAAATTAACCTCGTGTTATATCCATTTCAGCTGTACGTAATCGATGTTCCCATGTTCCTGTTTTATTATCAGTTTCTTCATCTGAATCATATTCATGTTTATGTTGCTGTTGTCGAGCAACTTTTTCTAATTCACGTCTTTTAACCATCATAGTCTGATAGATTGATTGAAGCTAAAAGAAATATTTGTTTGTTAAAAATAGAGAAAAGAATTATTTTTTTTATACTTCTTTCTGTTCAACATATTGTCCACGCTGTTCATCATTCATTTTGCTTCCATCATATCCTTCAGGATATAATTTCATTTGTTCATTAAGTTGTGCAACAAATGTTTTTGCTTTTTCCGTTGCTTGACAAACAAAAAAACAAAATGATTAAATATAACAACAAGAAAATTAGCTTTTTAAAAACCTTCATGAATTTGTTCAACAAATTTATGTTCAATACGCTCTTGTTTTGTAGCTAATAATATAAAAAATTTTCTTTTGATATTTTTATAGAGAAATCTTTTTTCACATACTACTCCAACGTGATTTACGTTTACGATTATTTTCTTCATTTTTCTCTTTAAAACAAAAAAAAACAACAAATGATTAATTATCAAACAGATGTCACACTTACGAATATTAGTCGTTGATTTATTCAATGAATTTGCTTTAAGATCATCAGCATCTTCATCATCGTCATCATCATTCCACCTTTGTATCGTAAAATAAAAACAAAAAAACATTGAATTAATAAACATATTAATAGAAATAGAAGAAAAAAATGATAGCTCAACACAAGAATAAATATATCCAAAGTGTGTGTGTATGTACCACAACGCCGACGAAGTAGAAAGATCGGTCGATGTGGTGGCGACTTGACGTCGACGATTTCCACCATTATCATGCTTCTGATGTTCATGTTCTAGGGAAGAAACTGGACAAACACGGCATTAATGATCATGTTTTTTTAAATATGGGAAAAAAAAGGAAATATAAAAAAGAAATTTTCTACCTAATGAAATGTTTTTAAAGTTTTCATTTTTTGTTTTGTTAGGTTAGAACAATACTTACGATTAGTATTTGTTGACGTAAATTGATCTAAAAAAATATAGATAAAGCTTTTTTGTGTGAATAAAATTACTAAAAGACTTACTCGGTTCAATTTTGATTGTATATTCTTTTTTTATATTGAATGTTCGATTTGTTGGTTTTTGAGTTGACGTTGTTTTTTGTTCCGTATCTTCTTCATCGTCATCTTCTACTTTTAATGGATCATAGAGATCTGCATTATTGACATTATTATTATTGTTTATTGTTGTTGATAGATTATTTACAGGAGCAGAAACTGGTAAAGGTGGAGGTGGTGTTTGAAGCATTTTTGAAAGAAATTCCGGTGATGTTAATGATGTTGTTGAAGGAGGAGGTGGTGGTGGAATAAAGGGTGGCGGAATAAAATTAGATGGATTATTCGAAGTAGATGGTGAAGATGGAAAAAAAGCTGATTGTGTATTAAATGGAGGAGGTGGTAGTGGAGCTAAAGTATAAAGAATGACATTAGGTTTTCTTTTCGTGAAAAAACAAGTTTTATATACGTGGGTTAAATGGTAACGAAGGTATTGGAAACGATGGTGGACCATGCTGATCAAACATAGATGGAGGTTGAGAACTAGGCGGAAACCAAGGTGGTCCAAATTGTTGTGGAGGATTTGTAGAAAGATATTCTGATGTACCAGATGACGACTAAAACGTTAATTATATAATTATATTTATTTCCGTTGAGAAAAAAATTAATTTACTTGTTGTATATTATTATTCTGATTTGTTATTTCCGATGATGTTAATATTGATGATTGTCCTTGAGTTTTTCGAAATTGTTCAAGAAATGAACCATCATTTTTAAAAATATTATTTCCAGCTGATTGATGCTCCGAACTATTGTTTTTTGTAAATAAAAGAGTATTTATATTAGGTAAACCTATGATATATTATCTTACTTGTTGTTCACATTATTTTGATGAACAGCTAGATAGAAATTCATCAAATTAAACTAAATTCTGTTTTTTAAGTAAATATTTAGCTTACAATCATTATTATTTTTCTTTGTATTATCGAAGCGCATTTTTTCTTCGATCATTCGTTTTTTTTCTTGTATTAATAATTCTTGAGCTGACATAGCTTGTAATTTTTGTTGAGTACGAGACATTTTTAAAGGAAACAAAAAGAAATGAAAAGATCGCACAAAAAAAAGAAATCTGAAAAAATTGGCAATTTTAACAGTGTATTGTTATTAATTCTCATGAACAATAACCAAAATAAACAGTTAGACTCAACATGATACTCTCTCTGTCTCGAGTCTGAAGGGTTATTAACAAATGGTAAGATCACCAGCCAATGTGCATTTATTTGTCTTTGATAAAAATCGATTGAAATTTTTCCAGCGCATCTTTTAATAAAAGTATTTATTTTAAAACAAATAAAAAGAAAAACATGATATTAGATGTCGCTAGTGTTAAATGATAATTTGCCTTTGATAAAATGAAATATAGTACAGGGCAATAATCGTCTTTTCTTCCTATTTATTCCTTCTACTGAAAGGAGGATGTTACGCCGAAATCAGTTGATTACGTTCGTTTGTAAGTTCGTTGGTTCGCACAGAACAAAAAAATGTTTTTTTAACCTCTCTCATGGAAACGCTCTAGAAAGTTTGGTTCTTCTGCAGTTTAGTCACACCCTTACACCATAGGCGGCGGAGCAAAGTAAATTTAGGGGAGGCTCAAAAAATAAATAAAAAATTGGAATACGAGCGTTGAAAGGTACTAAGTAATTTATGGAAGTNTTACTGGTTGTTTAATTGATCCTATTGATATAGAAAAATCTAAGTAAAACGAAAGAGGTCGTTGTTCATCAAATGAAAACTTCACTTCTTTTTCATATATACCATTACACTTTTGTCTTTTCGATTCTGTTAAATTCCTCTTCCCTAATCAGAAAAGAGTATTTTTCGAGAAAAACTGAATTTTGAGATTTTTACATATTCTGATAGACCTTGAAATGAGCTTGAAGCTGCCTTAATTTTTTTTGTCAAAAGAAGAAGCTTAGGCTTTATCTCACAAGTATTTTGCGAGATCTCCTACCTGAGAATTTTGGATTTTCGTCGTATGAAAAATGTTGTAGGCTTATTATAGCACTTAAGTTATTTTCATATAGATTCCGATGATATTGCATTAATTGACTATAATTTGTAATTTTGTAGTCACGGAGAAAAGCTTAGAGTTTTTATATTGTTTGAGTTTTCTTCTCGGTAGTAAAACCTAGGGAGAATTTAGAAAAAAAAACATTTGAGTAGTTAAAAAGATTCTCTATCAAGATCGATGGGTCCCGAAAATCCCAACGAATCTGCTTGGGTGAGAGTCTATGGAAAATCAAGACTTCAACATAAAGTGACATGTGTGTATAAGAAACCATGACCACAACTTTGGCATGACATATACTTCTAAGAGTATTATGATATACCCACATATACGCCATCTAATCAAGCTTGACAAATAGTGCAAAAATAATAGGTAACATAAGCAGAGTTATGTCGAATAGAGACACTTATAGAATCAAAAACATCTTTTTTTTGCATTTTTCTCGAAATCTGTCTTTGTGAGTATTCTGTTTATGCGGGCAAACCCTTCTTAATTACGACTCAATATAAAAGAGGCAACTTTTTTTTATTATACAGATCACAATTAGGGCTAGGTCGTAATAAAACCTGACTTTTGAATTTCTCTTTTGCTGAAATAAAAAACCTAGATCTTTGATTTAGCTGACGATTCTTGTGACCACACATTTGAGAATTTTTCAAAATTTTTTTTTTAAACAAATAAAGAAATTCAAAAATTAGGCTCTATTACGACCTAGCTCTGAGTGTACTCTACAATTTAAAAATTGTCCCGACATGTTAAGCTGTATTCTCATTTTGAAAACCTTGCTCGCATAAAGGGTACTTTTGACCAATAAATTAACTATAACTCATGAGTAGTAGCTTGGAGATTTGGGAAGATATTTTACCTATAAACTATACTAGCCAAGACTAGCATTCTCTTACATTTTAGTTGAAATTGGATGAAAAATAAGGTTTATTTCTGCGGAGGTCTTTCTTAAGGCAGCCGAACGATGCCAAATAATGATTCGAATGGCATTAAATGGTTGACATGTATTATTGTTTTTAATGTTCTTGACAATAAGTATCGCTTGGAAGACTAGTTTCTCTTGTTGATCTAAGTTTTGTTAATGATTCTAATTCAATATTGCGGTAGCACATCAATGTCCGATAATCGCTAATAGTATTACACAAAATCTGTTCACCACTTCGAAACTTTCCAAATTTTTTGAGGGCTCAAAAAACTATCGAAATTCAAGCAATAGCCAAGGTGGTCAATTCAATACATATTGTTTACTTCGAAAGGATATCTAAAGGGTGAGATAAGAGGATGAAATTTCCCATGGAATATCACAACAGCTACCGCGAATATATGGCGTAGAAAGATGAATGGAAAGCCATTTTCCTAAATAGATATACCGAAGTTTCGGGAACTTTTGCATTACCCTATGTAACAAGAAGTGTTACTTTACTGCATTTTTTTTGAACAATTTTAATAGCAAGAAAGGAAACAACAGATTTTTTTTCCAACATAGCAGCAAAAAGTAAACAAGTGCTTTATTAAAAGTATGCAGTATCAACACTCTTTATGAATCAAAGTGATTTCGAAACACATGCAATTCGTGAAAGTAAGAGGAAAGAAGAAATAATAATATAGCTATTATAAGGTAAGTCAAAGCACATGCAACACATAAAATCACAAACCGTTAGGAAGTCAGACGTTTGAAACATTGACAAGTATTTTTAATTACACTTCCTTTTTTCAGGTAAAGTATTCAAACTGGTATTAAATTAGTTAAACTTCACTTATTTAACATTAATAAACGTGCAGAAATTAAAATGACTTCTACTAAATCAATATTAAGTACATTGGAAAGACTTATTCAGCGAATAAATAAAATCACATTATGCCAAGAACATTTGACACTAATTTCTATAGCTCTAACTCAACTTCAACATACATTAAATACAACTAATATAGAAAATAAAAATCGTACATTTCAAGATATAGTACATACACTAAAAGTCATCGATGAAGTTATTATTGGTTGTACAGAAAATGAAGCTGAACTTAAAGGAATGACCTATCGAGATCTTGAATCTTTATTACTTCGACTTCAATTACGACTTGCTCAGCATATAGTTGATTTAACAAATAACTATGAAGCAAAAATTGAAATACTAACTAATGCCTGTCATGATCAACAAATTCTTGTTCGAAAAGTTTTTGATGAAAAAATAAGAGAAAAATTAGATATAATAGAAAAAAGAACAGAGGAAAGAACTATCGAACAACTTCGTCTTTTATGTGAAAAACATTTTCATACAATCAAAGTTTATCTTCATTGTTGTATTGAACTACACAAAAGTGTACCTGTGACCGGTCTAAATGGTGATATTATTGCTAAAATTGCTCATAAATTCTATAAAATCTCTTCCGAAGATCAAAGTCAATTAGAACATAAATGGAAATCATGTGATCTTCCTCTCACTCGTACGTTCATTCAATTCAAACCTGATAAATCTACATCATTTGAAAGAAATCAATCACGAAAATTACTTATTGGATCAGAAAGTCAATTATTTCAAGATCATCATGATAGAACAGAAATATGCGATGATATATGGCAAAGATTAGTCTCAACTCCTTACATGATGTCAATGACTGAAAGAGATCGATATTCAAAAGAAGAAGATGATGATGTCACTGAAGAAAATATTATTCGATCAAAACGTTGGATTGTTATTTTAGGTGATCCAGGAAGTGGAAAAACGAGTTTTAGTCGATGGCTTGTTTGTCATCTTGCTCAAACACTTCTTCTTAATGGACAACATTCAACTGATTATGGTCCACTTCGTATACCAATTCTAATTCGCATTGGTGAATTTGCTGAAATATTAAAAGAACAATCATCAATCAATTTATTTGATTATATTGGGAAACATAAATGGATAGGTAAATCAATTGTTAATGATTTATCAATATCACTTGATAATTTATCATGTACTCTTCAAGATTACATTAAACAAGGTCAAGCTCTAATTATACTTGATGGTCTTGATGAAATTCCTATTTCAGATCAACGTTCAAAAATTATTAATCTTGTTGAAAACTTTGTTGATACTTATGTACAGACACCTATGGGTAGTTCTGCTTTCGATGATCCATATTTGAATAAACTATTTGATAATCCATCGAAATCAGGTGGTAATCAATTGATTGTTACAAGTCGTATTGTTGGTTATCATGTTGCTCCATTAGCTGGTCAATTTGCTCATTATACAATTCGACCTATGAATATTGAACATATGAAAGATTTTGTTGACTATTGGTTTTTTCGTGTTCATCAACATATACTTGATACTTTAAATCTTTCATTAATTAATCAAGGAGAGAATCATAGTGAAGCACTTAAAAAAGAATTAGAAAAAAACGAACATATTGGACTTGTTGATGTTGCTTCTAATTCTTGTTTGATGTCATTTATTTGTTGTGTAGCTTTCAGTCAATTAGAAAGTTCACCATTACCTACTCAACGTATTCTATTATATGAAACAATTGTTAATTCTATGTTAAATTTATGGAGTAGTAAAAGATCGACTATTCCAATACAAGAATTAATTGAAATTTTTAGTAATATTGCAAGTTATATTCATGGAAATTCTGCATCAGGTCTTATTCATGAAAAAAAAATGAAAGAAATTTGTATTCAATCTATTAAAGAATCATTAGATAAAAATTCTAATACTAAAGAAAATATTCAATATATTGAAAATCAAGCATGTGAATTTGTACGAATTATTCGTGAAGATATTGGTATTTTAGCTGCTCGAGGTGAATCACTCTATGGTTTTCTTCATTTAACATTCCAAGAATATTTTACTTGTTTGAAACTTATTAATATAGAAACTACAAAACAAGAGAAAGAACAGTCTAGTAAATTTAATCTACAAAATAAAGTTCAACTAGTTGCTCAATCTATACGATATCATATATATGATCCACGTTTTCAGGTACCTATTGCACTTGCTTTAGGTAAGATTAGTTCTTCTTGGTCTCAAAAAGATTTTGATAATTTTTGTTATCAGTTGATAAAAAATCAAGATGAATCTGATTTTCTTTTACCATATGGTGCCTATATGTTAATTAGTTGTAGTAATGATCTTGTGAATTATCCTTCTCATGATGTTTTATTTGATGTTTTGGATTGTTTAATAATTGCAGCTGGTCAACATAAATGGTCAATTGTTTGTCCATTTTTATTCGATCAAATTATAATTTCATTAAAAAAACTTCGACATGATATTGTTTCATTATGGATTAACAAATTATTGTCACAATCTTCTCGACATAATATTCAAACAATATCAGCACTTTGTCATCTTCTTGAAGGAAAATCTCATGAATTTGAAAATATAAAATGGTTAAATCAATCATCTTGTTCAATACTTCAATCTTTGTTAATACTTGATAATGAAAATAATGGTTTTACTATTGATAGACTATTAGTTAAAATTACTTTCTTCAATCATCGTTTATTACCTATCAATCTAAATACTTTCAAAGGATTTCTTCTTGATCAAGAAATAGAATTCAATTCGATTCCTTTTATTTTATTTCCTATAATTATAAGTTTATATGGTGGTTTAAAACGAGATGATTCTAATATTGTCTTCGATCCATTTTATATTTATCGAGAATCAACTGTTGTGACACCAATTTTAATACATTTTCTTTCCAGAAATAATCTAAATAAACAAAATGAAAATATAACAATGATTAAACAAGAATTTTTAAGATTATTATTGACAAGAATAGAAAATCAAAATGAATCTTGTGAAACAATTGATCTTTGTATTGTGATTATTTGCTTGTATGGTATTGATTATGTGAAAAACAATCTGAAAATTATTTCTAGTTCTCTTTTGCATATGAGTATACATAGATTAAAATATATTTCAATGATTTTACGTCAATTTTATTTTGCTGGTGATAGAAATGATCCATTAGAATCAAAAAAAGTAACAAATTTTATTTCGAGCATAATCGAAAAATTTCAATATAGCCAATCATCAAAACTACAATATCTGAATTTATTAAATGCATTAAGAACTAGTATGGCTCGTTTACGATTTTCTGTAACATCAATGTTAATCGAAGGAACATCAAACTCTTATGAACGAGTAACCATAAATCTACCGAATTCACTCCGAAAGAACTACAAATGTCTTGATTATATCTTATCCATAGACACACAATTTTATTTTGGCCAAAAATCGTGTTCTTTAATTGATTATTTCACAAGACTTTTCTGGATATTAGAAAATAGTAATAAATTCAGCACACGATATAGAATGTCTGTTGCTTTAAACGAAATCCCAAAATATTTACTCTTTCGCAATGATGAAGATTTGTTATTTTCACTAACATTTATTCCTACACATCTACGAAATCTCTATTTGCAGTTATTGAAAAAAGAATTTATTATGATTCATTCGAAAGATTGTACAGTTAATAAGAAAGAACATTTCTTCTTTGGACACATTTTACTTGAATGTTTGATATTGTTATCAAATACATCATGCAAAAGACGTTCTCTTATGGGTGCCTTGATTACATTATTACCTATGCTTCGTATGCATCACTTAGAAAACTTTGGTAGTACTCTTTTATGGACATTAGCTACAAAAGATTCTTGGTATTTAAGCAACTTTGAAATTATAAGACAGCATCCAATGAATTACACAACAGGTATGTACATAAATAAGAATAAAAATTTCTATCCTGGATATGATATGAGAGATGAAGAACGAAGAATATTGATTAAAAAATGTATTGAACAAGAACAACAGCGACTTCAAAATGCTTTAGCTGATTGTAATAAAAAATGTATGGAACTTTATTCTGCATGTATTTCTTTGGCACGCACTTGTAGATGGACTCAAGATAATAATAGATTAACTTTATTGGAACAGAGTGTGCATGGAGCACTATCAATTGATAATAAACTTGTTCGACTAGATGCATTATGCATAATTGGTCTTTATTCTGATTCAGATCATAATCAAATTAAAACCAAAAATGGAATATCTCTTCAAAAAGAAATCGAACTTCAATTACATGACATTTATTCAGACATATCTCTACTATTACATACAGCTGTTTTTATTCGATGTTTACCACTACTTGAAGATCAACAAACAATGAACAAATGTTTACAAAATCTTTTAGATAAGTTGATCAATGCTCAGCAAAGAGATCAACAAGTTGTCTATGAAGCATTATTCCCTTATTTCGAATCAAATTTCACTTTTTCTTCAATCCTAAAACAGATATCAAATAGTTTTGTCAACTATAATAAAACAGTCAATAACAAATCATCTGTCATTATGGAATATATTAATGATAATTCAAATGAAAATTTATCTAGTACAGTACTTGTTTCCAATCTTTACCTTGCAGAATTAACTAGTGACGTGCAAAAACTAATTGCAATAGATGATCTTTCCATGATCATATCGCATTCTAATCTACCTATAATTGATAATTCAATTGCATCAAGATTGTTTCAATTCGAAGGCCCTATTTTAACATTCATACAAGTTTTCACTATTACAAATATTATTGTTTCTAATTATTCAATAGAATCAGAAAAGCTTTATGCTATTTTAAATAATGCATTACATTATTTTGATTTTGTTGAATTCAAAGCCTGTCGTTTATTAGAATCATGGATGAAATGGAAAAATTCAAATAAACTTTCACCATTTGCTTGGCATGCTGCACTTATTTTGGTTAATTCTGATTTATGGTCTGTTGAAGCAGCTATTATTGTGTGCGATCTATTGTGTAATGAAAATGATCGCTTTCGTCAAAGAGCTGAAATCATTTTTCGATCAGAAAGCGATGATCACATTCGAACAGGTTCAAATTTGGGTATCGATGTTTTACTCGCTTTAGTGACAAGAAAAGCTCATTATCAACACATTTCGCCATCAGTCAATCTTACTTTATATCGAATGTTTGAAAACCTAACTGTAGATATTGAATCTCATTTGGAAACGCTTCTTTGGTTTGAAAGATACAGAATTCATGCGTTGGTAAATAAAGAAGTTTTTTTAATCAACCGAAGATTCTCATCTATTTCGCCTATATCTTCACATTTTCGAAATGATTTTAGAATAGACGTGACTTTCTGTGATGGCATAAATAGAATGTCGAACGATTTAGTACATTATATGTGTAACCTAATCACATCCAACTTTTTACTGTTCTTGGACATTGATGGTGACACAACATCGAATGGAGTTTTGGAAAGTCATACTCAATTTATTATTTCAGTGTTTACTTATTTAATTTCTCTCATTCAATATAATAATGAAGTACGGTCATTGATGATCGATACGTTGATGACACTCTTTGAAACATCAGAAAATAATGAAATTCGTCGAGTAGCAGTGCATGCTCTAAGTTATGTGTGTGATAAAAATACATACAAATTTGTATTTGCCAAACTTCAAACAGCGGTAGCGGAAAACAACGCAAGTAAAACGCTTGACCAATCTGATGATTCTCTTAGCTCATTGATCTCAAGTTATTGTCATTGTGTATCAATTAACAATATTGTTTTTGATCAAGATGATATGAATGTATTTCGTAAGTTACTAAAATATTCTTCGCCAAATGTTTTGAGAGCAGTACATGTAGGACTCGGTCGGGTTCTACAGAATACTTCATTACTATTTGAAATGCTTGATTTGGATTATATTCAATGCTATCATGCCCTTATGGAATCAACGGCATACTTATTTCTTTATAATGTCCGACGAAGTAGTGCAGACACTGCGGCAGCATTTGTTGAAGAACATTTCAATCTTCTACCAATCATTGTAGTCAATTTATATAATAGCGTTCGTCACTTTACAAATGAAATACTACATGTTAGAACAGTGGATTATTATTTAGCGCATGGATACCCTCGATACGTAGAAATTGCAGGCTTAATAGCTATGCAAATGCCTGCGGCATTTTGTGCATATGTAAACGATTGGCAAGATGGAGATAACCTGAAACGTGCATTATTTTATACTAGTAAACAACATAATTTTTCACAACGTGCTGCTTGCTTAACTATTCTATCAATATTTGGTGAATTAACAATAGAACTATGTGAAATGTTTATTGAAGCTTTACGTGATGATCCACATATACAAAATACTTGTTACAAATGCTTGACACGCATTAATTTTATTAAAGATGAAGAGGCTGTTCTAAATAAGTTATTCTTCTATTTGAAATCGAAATCAATGAATGTTCGATATATTACAGCTAAAATTTTTCTTCATCTTTCTAAATCTTCTCTCATTTCATCGCGTCAAGTTCAAATAGTATTGAATGATCTTATTTTAGATCCTAGCTCAAATGAGAGTCTTTGGCTGATTAGAGATCAAGACCTTGTTCAAGCAGAATGTGTGTATAATTATGTTGGGCCACTGAAAGATGTTGTTTATTCTCTTCTCATCCAGCATTTGGCTGGAGATGCAACTGAAACTATTCAGAGAAATGAATTAAATGATATTGATGCGAGCTTTGCTGAGTCTGAAACAGCAGCTCGATTTTCTTCATGTCTTTATGAAGCAAAAACTGAAGAAAATTTACTATCAAAATCACCTTCAAAAAAAGTCAACTTAGATAACTGAACGTCATAAAGATTCAACATCAAGTTATCCTCTTCTTTATTTGCACAGAATTTTGATTCAGAAATAAAGAAAAACGTGTCGATGCTCAATTTATTGTTTTTTTTTGTTGTTGTTGTGAAAATAAAAATAAGTCACATTTCTCATCATGAAGTACTTCGTAAGATGGTATAGTAAACGAAATTCAGTTTTTCAATGGAAAGTCAAGACAAAGATGATTATTAATGTCTAGTGTGATGAACATAATAAGGTTTTCAGTAAACGATTTTCAATGCATATTTGCATAAAACAAAATCGTCCCGATCAAATAACATTGACAGAATAATGCAGTGTACTTTTTATGAAAGATATAGTAATTGTACGAGATCATAAACTCAAGTACATTGGAGATCGATTAATAAAGTTAAAGAAAAATTCTCTCAAACTAGAATAGTCAAATTCACATGAAAGTATCGATATTAAAGATATGCTTTAAATTTGTGTTGAATGAAATTAGTGAACATCAGTTTATCGATAGAACAGTGTTAGCGTTCGTTTTATGCGCGAACACTAACCGTGTTCTTCGCTCTCTAACTTTATTCTTAAAAAGCAAGAGTATATATATATGAATAGTGACAACAAAGAAGAAAAGAAATACGAATGTTAATTGAGGTGAAAGAAAAGAAGTAACCGAAGTAAACGATAATACAGAAGATAACATAGAAGATATCGAAGAGAAGAAAAGAAAAGAATAGAAGGATCGAGGTACATGTTATAGTAATACACTGTAACAAACAGTAACAACAATTGTCTAAAATGTTGCAATAAATCGCTATCCTATCAACAAGCGAAGACGGTCGTGAATGAAAAATGCATGTCTTTTTATAAAAATACATATGATGTCACTAGCCTCAATTGAAAACGGTTTTCGAAATTAAAATCAAAAATCAAAAGTTTTCTATTGATAATTCTGAACAGCAAAGACTTTTTGAAAACTGTTTACTAGAGTAAAATAGCGAAATAAATTTGTGACTGAGGTTTCTTTATAATCATGAAAAAATAAACTCAAATGATTTTTTCAGACTTTTTTCTGTTCTCAATTGAAGAATGAGTTACTTTTTGATTTCAAAAAAAGTTGCAAACATGCAGCTGTCACACGAAATAAGATATATTTTCTTTGCAAAAAAAAAGTGATAAGATAGAAACAAAATGACACAAGATGATACCTTATACATAACTCGACATTATTGATATTTGTTTCAAGTAGAGCTTGATCATGAGAGTGATGCGCTTTATCGTACGGATTACACTGTACTCATTTTGTTAAAGTGTTCAATTTACACGATCTTTAAAGATAAATAGATTTAAAACTATTGATAATAAATCATATAGTTGGCTGATCAGACGCAGAAAATTAATTCAAATAATTCATAACATTTTCTTTTGCAGTATTATCTCCAGCTTTTTGTTAATGATCTTCTCAACTGATCCCACCAATCTGTTTTTTTTTTATATGCAAGGTCCTTTGTTTTTTTTCTTCTACAGAAATGATGTTTTTCAGCAACAACTGCCATCATCTATTATGTTCATATAGTTTTTATGATTGATACAAATTGGCTAGCTGAATCGATGTCTATGCTACAGTGCATATGGACTAGACTACAACCAACTGCATCGTATTGATTGCTTTCTCAAATGTAAAGATCTTTGATGATGTCGTGCAAGACAGATCATGAACCTAATTCTAATACAAGTCTTATAAATAATCTACATTATCTTAGCATCCTTTGATTCTCACGGCATCTTTATTGTTAGATAAAGAAAAAATGTTGACAAGTAATTACCTATGATGTCTACTTATGTGATGAAGAATGATGCACAATCGAACAGATGTCAGTCACTGGGTGTGTATGCAGCTGATCGCCAAATCAATATTATTACATTCAAGAACGACATATAAATACAATCAGTTTTTAATGTTGTGCAGGAATATGATGTGAGATATTGAGTTGTAATACAGATATTCGCCATCTAGAAACACACCGGAGCATTATCGCCAATTGTAGATATACAGTGAAACTTTATCTCGAAGCATCATATCCGTTGTCATCAGATCGTTTTCAATTAATCATAAGTGCTTGTTGATCAAAAAGTCTCATCATGTCACTTCAATATCCGTCATTAGTACTGATGAAAAAAAAGTTGAACTCTATCTGTGGTTATCACAGTCATACAGAAAGAAAGTCCTCCATTGAAAAGAATGACGATATCTATGACACTTGAAGAACAGACAGCTTTTTATGATGAGTTGTTGCTTAGGCTCATACTATTATTGATAATTTTACTAGACTTTTGTGCTCCATATATGTGATATAAATAGATGAAATTGTGTTCAATTTCACGTTATCTTACTCATCTACCAGTAACTTGTTGATTGATGAATTAGAAATATACTCAGTGGGAATTATATGCTCTTTTATGATGTGACAATGTGAGAGAAGGTGTGGGATGAGGTTGAGTGGACCGAGCGAATATGGATTAAGAGAAGAACCCTGCATGAACATCCTCTCCCTCGTCCACCCACAGTTCACACCAGTTATCAAATAAAAATACATTTTTTTCTATCGATTTCGCACGTAAAGAGCAAATGACATCATCCTTCGTGAAAAGTCTGAGATTCCTCACATATTCACTCAGGCTCTTTGAAAACAAAGCTCTCAAAAATAGAAACATGTAGAAATCAACAAAACCTTGTTATTTTATGCATCGAACAAGTACTAGAATATTTCATTTTACTCAGAATAATACTGGTATCTCCTGTTCAGCTTTTCATCTGTAGTTATATTGACAACAAAAACTTTTCGCATTCTGCATGATTTCGTCCTAATGATTCATTTTTATAAAGCTAATAGAAGTATAAAATTGACGCAATATTGATAATTTAATGATACTCTTTTTTCTCGTTTGATTGAATGTTTATAGAGAAAATTTAAATGACTTTTGCACATAATGGGTGAATCCGCCGGGTTTCTACCACTTTCAGGGAAAATTTTTTTTTTCGCGCTTTTGATATTCCAGTTAGACGGAGCATAGCTGAAAACGGTTGGAGGTAATAATTAAAAAGTTTTGGAAGGTCAAAGTACGGAGATCCAGGTCGCTTTTTCGGAACAACTCCTCACATATGGGAATTATTAGGACAGTACCCCAGAATTTGCATTCACTTCTTCCAAATGAAGTCAAACTTTCTGAGCTTATAGAGTTTGGGCATCTTAGAATAAACGTAAGTTCAAAAAAATTTTAAACCTTAGTAAGGGATCCAAAGGTGAGGTAAGACTCGTAGGGGGGTGTCGCCGATGTGCCAGGCCATACATAATTCCACTATTTGAAATGATTGAAATCTGAAAATTTTACCATAGATACTACTTGTTGAGGTGATCATTTTTGGTAGCAAACGTTTTCTTTTCTGGTGTTCTGTTTTTTGGGAAATCGCACAACAAAATGGTAATTTCTGACGTTTTTTGGGCAGAAGTATCTCAATAAAGCTTAAACGTACTTTTACTTGTCATTGGTGCTTTAGAACCACCAAACGGTTCTCTATTCAATGTTGAAATCCACAGATCTGTAGCTTGTTCCAGGACCAAATGGCAAAAACATCTTTCGAACTTAGTTTCAAAAATGTCCCAAATTTGTACCTTCGCCTCAGGCACAATGTTGAAAACCAAAAACCTATCGTATAGTGGATTTTCATCAGTACACTTAGCTCTACCGTCCCTGAAATTTTGGTTTTTGATCAATGCTATTTGACCCAGAAAACGGACAACTCGGTTGATATAAGTAATAGCAATTAAAGTAATCGAAACAATATTAATTATCTTGGTTTTTATGACAACATTTACTTTATAAAACGAATGTGTACAGATTGAACAGTGGTGTTTGCATAATTTTATTCCCGATAGACAACCAAGGAAGAGTCAAATCGATAGCCGACGCTTAACTTCAGTGGTGAATGTTCTATTATAATCTCATGTGCTAACGAAGATATATTTCGACATTTCATGACATCTTTTGCACTGTTTCGTCTCGGTAGTGGCTTCTCTTTTACGAGCAATGAAATATTTTAGATGATTCATGGTATGTATCTGCTGGTTTACAATAATAAACTCATTCTCTTTTTGTCCATTCCCGAGGAAATATTGGAAAAATGCCAAGACGACGGTTATGCCAACATCCAACACTACATACTGTTTCTTCTTATGTAGCAACAGGTTCTCGGCCGGTCTCTTCTCGCCTTCTCAATTTTATACGGACTCGTTATGATTTGGAACAATTAAATATTCGTTGGTCGTGCTCGAAGTGTCAATGGGTAGAAACAAAGGTGATGAAAGAACAGGATGAAACTGTTGAGAAGTATGACATGGATACTGGTGGTGACGAATTAAGTGGAAATAGTTCGATGGATCATGAAGAAGATGATGATGATGCAGAAGATGAAGATAATGAAGAAGGTGATAATAATGAAGAAGATGATAACAGTGAAGAAGATGAAGATAATGAAGAAGATGAGGATAATGAAGAAGTGGATGATGGATGCGATCAACAAGCTGAAGATGATGATCACGAAGAAATAAGTGATGAAAGTGATCAGCAAGGTTATGATGATGAAAAACAAAGTGAAGATGATATGCTTCTTGAAGTTAGTTATCTCGAAGAACAAGCGATGGAACAGTTATCTGCGGTTATAAATTACTAAAAATGGATCCTATCCATGATAAGTGAGTTTCAGATGTTGTTTAACTTGATAAAAGGTTTCTGTTTAAGATTAAATACTAACTCGATTCGTTCTCGAATTAGTCAAGTTTATACATATCTTCATGGCTTATCTGATATACTAGAAGGAAAATCTGGAAACGAACATAACCCAAATCCACATGAGCTTCTTGTTGAAGAATCGAATAATCTTCTGACAGGTTTAAAAAATTTATTCAACGAAAGCTATGCTTCTGAGCAAGTTCGTTTGTTAACCATTGCACCTAAGGCATGGGGTCGAGAAAAAATTCGTAAATGGTAAGTCGTATGAAAGTCAGTAGCTGAATATTCTATTTCGACTCAGTTTCATGAACGAAATCTTTGTATACACCGTTTCTTTTCAGGTTTGGATCATCTGAACATCAGGCTCGTGAATCACTTACCCTTCGACAGAACGAAGGTATTCTGGCTGTCCCGCAATATTTCAAAGGCAATACTCCAATTTCGAATGATACGATTACTACTATAGTCAACTTCTACCGAGAAGATGGTACTAGTCGTATGTCATCAAATTCCAAAAATACAATTCAAATTAATCAAAACACAGTACCTATTCGTTATATGGAAATGAGCATCTTAGATGCTTTTCGAATATTTGACGAACGCTTTCCTGGTTTGGTCGGTCGTACAACATTTTATTCATCACGACCTCGGGATATAAAGATTTTATCGCCACATGACACATGTATGTGTATCATACATGAAAACATGAATCTTTTGATCAAGGTATGTATTCATTTACAAACTTCAGCGTATCATTAAAATATGTTTTGACCCTATCAAATTCTACTCTGCTAAGAAATTTCAGTTTCTTGTGGTTTGGCACAGAAGTGGAAAGCTTACAATCTAGTGGAGGATATATAGCCTAGTTTTCCTTTTTCTGTGCATTGATATACAAAAACTTGAAACCACTTATGAAAAACAAACAGAAGAAAGCAAGCAGATAAGATTTTACACTACCACAGTCGTAATTTACAGTAACGAGACCAACTGAGTTTATATAAATTGACAACTTTTGTGATGCAATAATTATTTTTAGGCATGGAATAACTACATACAGAACAAGTCTACTTCAGTGGGATTAAAAATATTCGATATAAAAGATCTAATTAATGAAATGGTTTGTCATGATAATATGGAAGATTGTTTTATTGGTGAATGTCAGCAATGTTCGACCAAATCTCTTATTAATATTCTTACAGCAAACATCAACGTTGACATGGATGAAAATTGTTCTTGGACTACTTGGAAAAAACTGAACAACAAATTTGACTTGCAACAAACCACGGGTTCCGTTGAAGCACTCTTTGCTCAAATAGAAGCAGAATGGCCCTCATTTATTTTACATACATTTTGCAATCGAAGACAACGTGAATATATAGCTGAAATTCGTACACAATCAACAAAAACAACTTTTATTGTTGCTCAAATGGATTTCTCTATGAATTACACCCTAATTCGTCAACGAGAAGTGCAACAAGGCTTCTTTTCTCAACATCAAGTCTCTCTTTTTACAATTCATTTAACAATCGGAAAAGAACACCGTGATATTGCAATAATCAGTAATTCAATGGAGCATAATGTCGCATTTGTTTACTGTGCTCAACAAATTCTTGTTGATTACGTAAAGAAAAACTTTCCTGTTCTCAAAAGAATTATCTACATCAGGTAAATGAAGTTAATCATAGGTTAAAGAATAACATTATATAAAACTGGGTTTACGGATCTGAAGAAAGCAAAAACATTGAAAACGTATTTTTACTTTTTATATTTAGACGCATCTTAATCACAGTTAGATTAAATTAGGCTTACATGATTATTGTCTTCCAATGACTTAACTAAGGACAAAATAGTATGTGCCGTGGTTCTTAGAAAGTGTCAAAACCTCATCGTATTTTGCGAAGCTCGATAATGTCTTTGAAATTCGTTCGCTCTTCGAAGTATTCGAAATTATTTGAGATATTATAAACTATTTGGAACTTTCAAATCTTAGACTCCCTGGTTTCCTGTGGAATTTAATTATGGACCA